CTTCTGGTTAAATGCAGAGTTATTACAGCGCTGGGCTCTAAGAGATGACAAGTCTCCAAGAGCCTCGATAATCAAAAATCATTCACATTTATCTTCTCGGGCTGGGACTGCCCTGTACATGGGTGGTACGTTACACGTAAATATTCTAGAATGTTCATGTAGGCAGTAGGTGTGTGTGTGTGTTATCTTCTATTTTCAGGCGTTTCTTTCCAACAGAAAATGGACATGCAGTTAGCTGTGTCACTTACTTCCCTGATTCTGTTGTAAAAACCTCTTACTCATGCTTCAGACATGGGTGAATAGTTCAAGCCCATCAGACTTCACGTCTGTAAAATAGCATAAATTAACAGTATCTTATCTATAGTTTTCAGAACGACACTTATCTATGCAATCTACTCTTGCACAATTATCCAAGAAAATAAGAAATACTACAAGTTGACCTGCAGCTGAAAATTATAACTATTGTGCATGCATAAGAGCCAGGTTAATACTGATACATGGTGCTGTTAATGAAACACAAACAGTCATACCAAACTTTATCATTATAAAAGCAAAATAATACTAACAGTAAATAAAACAATTGCAACCCCTGAAATCCAATCCTAACACTTTGAAAAGGTTTTGAGTGGGACTGACCTCTCTAACCAAACAGAGATTTTCAGTTATTTCTGGCTGATCAGTAAGCTTAGTTGCATCTAAAATAGTCCTCACGCTTCTGTATTTTGCACTTCAAAAATAGCATTATTTGATCCAGAGTTTTGCCAAGTTTGAAATGTGTTACCATTTCTGTGCTGTCATCACTAGCAGTGGGCTGTCATCTGCTTTGAGTGAGTCATCTATCACTGTTCAGAGATAACACTATGCCATGCTGCTGACAGAGCACACTTTCTTCACTTCCTGTTCAGTGCAGCAACACCACATACTTGCTTCACTCTGGGCGGAAAACCAGTCACCATGGAGACAAACAGGAAGTGGTGGTGTGAAATTGGTCTGTGTATTTGATAGCTGCAGAAGGATGAGCAGATTTACAGCATGCATCCGATCAAACAAAACATAACAGCTACACTATGCTCAACATAGAAATAATGACAATAGCCTAGCAGATAAAATAGGAGCACTACAAATGTTATTGAATGTGCATTAAGTACTCAAAAAGACAGTCAGGTCAATATAATGGATTAGTTGCACCTCCATGTAGGCACTGGCAAAAGCATTTAACTGCAGGGCAATGGCACCATGTTAAAAATCAGTGCTGTGCCTACTATCCAAATTAAAAATTGATACATAATGTTGAATGTCAAAAGAATGATAGCTCAGTCTATTCATTCTGTCATACGGTCTCATGCTATGCTTTCTTCACAGTTTTTATGGTAGCATGAATTTAACGGCAGGAACATGAACATTTGGCACTAAAACAATAGCAATAGGTGCAGGAGGGGAGTTTGGGGTAGTTTAAACTTATATAAATTGCTTTTGAACCTGCTAGAGGGACATATTATGTTGCTTTTCATCTAACAGATATCTTCACTGTATTTTAATGTGTTGATACATGTGTGCCAGTATTTATTGTTGTTACTTGCATTAACTTTGAGTAGTGTTGTCATAGACGTGTATGTGTGCTTGGTAAGATTGAGCATTGTCTCTGCCCTTGTGAGAAACACAGCTTTGCTCAATAGGCGACATCTCCCCACTGAGAACCTAGAATGCATTTGTGTTACAGCATCACTGTGATGTTGGTGCCTGTCACACCAGGGCACTGAAAGCCATTCAGATATGGCACCTGTGGACTTGACCCTCTTCTTGCTCTGCCTTTCTAATTACATCTTTCTTCATGCCTTTGCCAGATGTTTTTCTCTGTCTTTATGTCTGAAGTTATCCTCTTCTGTTATTAATCCTACTTCTGTTAACAATGCACACTAATTCTATGTACCCATCCTATGGGGTATTGCAGAGATTCTGTTTGCATTGTCAGCCTAACTCTCACTAGTAGGATGACATCAGTGTGCTGGACACATTATAGTCTTAAAACTCCAGTGTGCTCATTTAGTGCAGGCTTGCCGAACTGGTTAAAGGCAAACTTGGAACAGTGTGCAGGCCTTTCCTTTGTACATCATTGGACAAGCTTTTATAGTTCAACAGTAAGATTTGTTTTATATTTGACCAGTCAGTGGTCAGTGGTGTTTTGTTTGTTTTGTTTTACACATTGTGTTCACTGATGAGTCAAAAAGACATTAAAACTGCATGATTCTGTAAATGGCATTACTGATACAATAGGTTGAGCTTAGAAGACTACACACTTGATCCCTTGGCTTCTCAAATTTGTGTATTTTCATGGCTTAATCCCTGTCTTTAGAGATAAATTATTAATATTAAGAATTGTCCAGTAGCCCATATGTGAGTTAACCGTTCTGTGAGATCTGGGACGACTTCCCTAAACAGTTTTTGGTCTAAATTCAGAATGTTGAAGTAAGTGGAGATGTCAGCCCAAATATATAATTAGGCTACCACAGAAATAATGGTGAAATTTGTGACATTAATAGTTGGTGTTACCTTATTCTAGAGCTTAGAGCATCTTTGTGAAAATAATATCAACCTTGCACAATTCCAAGTAGAGCAGATGGAACTGGCTCACTTGTAAAAGCACAGTTCAACACACTCATTGTCCAAGAGAGGAACTGGCAGCAAATAACCAGTGTGTTGGCAAAAGTATAGCAGAAGAAACCAGTGTAAAACATGGGTCAAAATATGATGGCTGTTAACATCCAGTTTAAAGCCATAACCTAGCCATATTGCTCATATTGGTTAGTCTTATGGATACTGTATGTTTTAAGAATACTATCTTAAAGCACACTTTTTAATGGCCACCTGAAGTATGCCAAGTGCTTTCATGGGTCAATTATGCTGAGGCCATTCTCTTCACTTGCATAGTATTACAGGGCTGTAGTCAGTCTCCACTTAGAACACATATTTGTTACCTCAGTCCTACAGCAGCTGTGGACAATGTATAAAGGTTATAGTACATTTTGGATTGCACTGCAGAGGGACACAAACATACCTTTTGTGATTAATATTAGTTCCAGCCATTCAAAGTTTGAGCATTTGTAAAGAGAACTATCATCACACATTGGAATGTCTCTAGAAGATTAGCATACATCACAGACTGCAGCCAGGATGTTAAGATTATCTTTTCTGAAAGAGTGACAGAAAGCTTAGTTTTCACTCATACACACAGACATGTAAATGCTTTTCTCTGTTTATGAGATACATAGATTCAAGCATTTAATAGTCTCTCTCATGCACAAGTCCCCATCTTGTCTGAAGTTGCACAATAAGAACTCCTCGATGCTTCAGCGGTTCTGGCAACATTTCCACTATGCCTTTCCCCTACAATTGCCCTTCAACTCTGTATGCTACTTTATCCTGAAAATCTAATCTGTAAACTGCTTGCATAATGTTTTGTACTTGCATAGTGTTCTTACTCAAGATCAACGTTGATAAATTACCCTGTATCATAACTACTGGCCTGAATCCAGAGTTTGCCCCCTTCGCTTATAAACACACTTCTTTGATTGGTGTGAGTTTATTCTTGTACCTGTTGTACTTGCTGTTTAGTTTTGTTCTGCAACACACCACATTGTCCTCAGTTTTTTGACATTAATTATGTGAGTAGTTTTGGTGCAGTGTGGTGGTGAAGTTTAATGTACACTGACTGTTAGCTTGACCCTTTTACAAATACATGTGTGCATTCTGCTACACTCATTTCAGAAGTAGCATATAGACATCTGAGCATGTTTGAATGCCAATCCTTGCACCAGTTTGTGGAAACATGCACTCTATTGGGTTGGGTGATATTGCATCATGAAAAAGGCTGAGACGTGAAGTACAAAGATAGTGCGTGGTTGAACATCTGCAGAATTTCCATGTTGGTATGTGTGCTAAAGTAACATGTTAAAGGAAATATAAAATCAAAACTGGTGTTTTGTATTTGGTCAAAGTTTTAGTTTAGTCTCTCTATTCTTTATGTGAGATATTCATGTTTCCTCCGTATCCCATGGGTTTTCGATCCTTACTTACAGCATTTCTTATGTGATGTAATTTTGCACATTACTTATTTTTGTTCCTAGATAAATCACAGATCTCTACTTATTTTCTTTTTTCTGCCTAGATTAATGAGCTAAGCCATGTTCAGATTCCCATCATGCTCATGCCAGATGACTTCAAGGCCTATTCTAAGATCAAAGTGGACAACCACCTCTTCAACAAGTAAGGTCTTTTTTTTAATTTAGCAATGATGGTATTTCACAGAAAATATGACCATACAAAATATGTTCAGTTTCTAGTACCCACAAAATCTCTCAAAATATGGCTCTTGTGTTGTCTGATTTTATGTGTGTGTGTGTGTGTGTGTACACAGGGAAAACATGCCAAGCCATTTCAAGTTTAAGGAGTACTGTCCTCTGGTGTTTCGGAACCTCAGAGAGAGGTTTGGCATTGATGATCAGGATTTCTTGGTATGAAAACATGCTTTATTTTCACCAGTGACAAGCCTAACAACAGCTTGTTTCTTTTGTCATCTCTGTACCACTTGATTGCTGTGAATTGGTGCATAAGATAAGAAGACTTTACAAGAAGTACATCATTCTTTAATGTATCTGACTCTTCATATCTAATAAATGCACTAGTAAACTGTTAACTCTATTGCACCTTTTCCTTTCCTGCCATTATTTCAGCCCACTCCTTGCCTTCCTCTGTGTTCCGCTCTTTCCTAGTAGGTCCCCACTACCAGTGCAGTGAGTTAGAAGTATTAAGAGGTCATTGTGTCCCAGCCCATGCAGCTATCCTCCTCACATGTTTCCATGCAGTGAGTGGGAAGTTAGAGGTGTTAAGACACTGACCAGTGCAAATGAATGTTGAGACATTCTCAACATTTAAACTACTTTCCTCTACAAGGCACTAGTCATATTGTGGTCACAAGGTTTATTGATTTGTCCATTTTTTCCTTTAATCCTTTGCTCTACCTCTAGCTTGCTGGCATATCTTATAATAACCTATGTCTAGATTTCAGCCAATGGGTACCATGCTCTTTTTGTTGACATACAGCAGTAACCATTAGTTTTAATAAGAAATTCTAGTAGTATTATCTTGTAACTAAAGTACAAACAGATTAGCCTTTTTCCTGCACTATAATGAATGCATGGAGTGGAAATAAGCAACTAAAATAAAACCATTATGATATCACTTTTAAAGCCTTTAATCTATGCCAGCCTCAGGTCAAGGGCCTCTTAAATGTTTTCAATCTATGGCACAAAACACTTCAATCTGCCACAAGGACTATATGTGGGCCTCCTACTGTTCATGCTTTTAGGAGCCTCCAGAGACAAAACTACAACCAGTTTTCAAGTCTGCTTAGGTCTGCTGCTTAATTATTGTTTTTGAATCAAAGTTTAGTTCTTTTCAATATGAGCAAATAATAAGTGTTGGAGAAGGGAGAGGTAACTAGAGACAGAGGACATTGGGAATTCTTGGAGAATAAGCCATTGATCCAGGGGTGCTGGCTCATGTTACCTTGGAGTTCCACAGTGTGGGCTGCAGCTGTTTGTGTCTATGTGTAGCTCTGGGTAGGCAGCTGGCATAGGGGTCAAAACTGCATACTGTATGTTTAGACTGGAGACTGGAAGGTGGTCAAACACAAAGGTTGATCTAGGACATGCTGTACTGTAAACTTCATCCAAGTTCAGTAGACTAGCTATAAACCATTCAACCCAATGAGAAAATAGAATTTCCCATTTAGTTATTTAAACATAAAAGGCCAAAATATTTTTTGTGATTTTTCAAATATATTTTCTATATTTTAGTTAGACCATTTAAAAAAGTAAAATACAAAGAATAATTTCTGCCTTAGTTCTCTTAAGGCACTGCAAATAATACCTGGGCACAAGGGTTAAAAAAAGGCAAAGACAAGCTGTTGCATTTCAGTGTGTAGATTCTGATAAACATAGAGTAGTTATTGTCTCCTTTCTGTCTTTGCTCTGTATGTTTGCAGAACTCTCTGACACGAAGTGCTCCCTTGAACAGTGAAGCCCAGGGACGGAGTGGGGCCCGCTTCCACACCTCTTATGACAAACGCTATGTCATCAAGACCATAAGCAGTGAGGATGTGGCAGAGATGCACAACATTCTAAAGAAATATCATCAGGTGATTACAATTTATCTTACAATAATGGACATGAATGCAAACCCTTTATTGAAACAAACATGGTTCTCTTCGAGGACCAGAGGACTTCTGGGGCATTGTTTTACTCATTCTCTGGAGGAATAAAATAGAACTACAGTGTAAATACACATGCAAGATTTTTATACTCATTGGTATCCATTTTCTCATCCAGTACTGTATGACAAATTGACACAGCTAACAGAACACAACTGTGTTTGGTGGCATAGTGTCAACATAAATTATGCAGGTGGTCAATAATTTTCAAGTGTTAGGGTTAATACTATATCAGCCGATATAGTAGGTTAGAATCCTCCTTACACACAGAACAGAATAACAGTAAGTCATTAATGGATCATATCGGTTTTATAGACCTTTTTCTATATTTCTTACAGTCTCCCCTCAAATGCAGACAATAAGCATCATTTATGACTAAAAAAAAAGGCCATCAATTGATTTACTTTGCTCTCTCTTGGTAGTTCATTGTGGAGTGCCATGGGAACACACTGTTGCCTCAGTTTCTGGGGATGTACCGGCTCACAGTGGATGGAGATGAGACCTACATGATTGTTACACGCAATGTCTTCTCTCACCGCCTTTCTGTCTACAAAAAATACGATCTCAAGGTAGGAGGGGAGGAGGAGGGATCAGATTAAGAAAAACGGACACAAGGAAAATAAAAGTGATGATAGGGCATAAGTATGAGAAGAAATGATAAAAGTCTAAACCAAAGTTACACCACACTTGTCCCTTGTTACCTTCTGCTTGTAATAAATCACAGTAATTTATGTTTGTGTGTTAATCAGACTTGAGCGCAAGCAGAGAGAAAAAAATTGAGAGCATTTTAACTTAGAACAAGACACGTTAAGGCAGTGCAGGACTGCTTGTCAGTATATCATTCTTTTGACGTGTGTGAACTCCAGGAAAATAGGACAGTAGTATATCCTGATGTGGCAATGCGCATCAGCCCATAATGTTCCTCGTCAGTTCGCCGCCAGTGTGTGGACTTGCACAGGAAATAATGCGTGCAGGTGTTTTGCAATGCATCACACACGGCCATTGTGCTTTGCCCTTCAGAATGAGACAAGAAGCTATAATTTCTTAGGAGCTGCATTTCACAAGTATGAGAGATTGATCAAAATCTCCTGTTGATATTACAACAAACATAGGTATGTCCGTAATAAGTTATTTTTCTTTCCTTTAGGTACCCACTGAGTAAGCAAAACTGCCATTGTTTAGTGTTTATCTTAAGTCACTTGGATGCTACAAGCACGCCTGTGCGGATAACCTGGAGTGTTCAGACACCTGAATAAGAAGTATGCATGCAATAGTATCCGGATTTCTTTCAGAGTACACCAACTCGCATATTCAGGTTTCTCAAAACCAGGATAAGAGCTGAAACGTCTTTGTGAAATCAGGATATGATGTTTACATGCACACAAACACAAAAACTCGATCATAACCAGGATACTCATCCACTCGGTGTTTAAAGCAGGTAACCTGTGTCAGAACAGAATGAAGCCATTGGAAACTATTTTAAGACATTGCACCATGTGTGAGACTGGGATTGTGACTGGGGAATGTCTGCAGGAATAAGTATAAGAAGAATAATAAAGCAAAGACCAAAGCAGGACTTTCCAGTACTTATGGTGACAGTTTTTTGTTTGTTTGTTTGTTTTTCCCCAGGGTTCCACTGTGGCAAGAGAGGCCAGTGACAAGGAGAAGGTACAGTCATCTGTCTTGAGCCAGGATCCACTGTTATACATATCTACACGAGTTTAAACTTCAGCACAGTCAGGACCTTTTAATCGAAATTAATTTAGTGTGCTCCAATGTAAAAGTAAAATCTATCAGTACAACACAGCAACAGTTCGAAATAGTTGTGATTGTACAAACACATAAAAAGAAACAAGATAATCTATAGTTACTCACTTGTCTCTCTGAAATGATGTTTCAGTCCACACCAACACCACATTGTTGGACCTCAGTACACAAGCCACTTTTCTCATGCTTTTTTCCTTATTATTTAGTAAAGCTATCACCCACTTTTTATATGTTTAGGAGGGAATGAAACAAAACAAATTTCTTGCATTACTCATCACTTAGCTTATTTGAAAACAATTTTTGCTCATTCAACAGACAGCTGTCCTTCCAGCATATCAAGAGGTGCCTTGCTGAAAGGACAGCTGGTTCTGGTGGCTACAGAAATCAGACTAGGTGTGGATTGAATGAGTGGACACTTGTGCATTGATAACATCTTGATTCTGATTTTAGTGTAAGAAACAATTTAAAATCTAATTTCAAGTAATTGAAAGAACAGTTTCTGTGATTTACCGCTTTTTGTTTATTTTCCACAAATTTCATCTGGAGACTAAAACCAGCAATGAATTTTGTCTACTCACCTTAATGTCTGTAATGTGTTTTCAGTAGTTTTAGACAACAGTGGAAGTCTACAGCACAGAGAAATATGCTAAACCACGTTCTGGATTCACAGACGTTACAGTGAGTACATTAAATTCATTGCTGGTTTTAGACTCTATATGGGATTTTTGAAAAATAACAAATAGAATGTGTGTTTCATGAACACGCAGCTTAAAGAGATTCCAGGCTTATTACCATCACCCAAATAGCTTTGCTTTATTTCCCTTTGGGTGGGGATGACAGTAGCAAATATCCATCTCCTTCAGTTAGCACCCACAGTCCTTCATCACCCCATTCCCTTATATCCCTTGCACGTTATAAGTTTTTAAAGTTTGCTTTGATCCTTCTAACCTCGCTTCTGCCGGTCCATCAGTTTCCCTGCTTGCTGTCTGTGTGTGAAAGATTGAAGGTCGTGTGTGTATTTCTGGGTACGTTTCGTGTGAGTTTTTTCAAGCAGATGTGTCAGTAGTCGTTTGTACCTGTGTGTGTGTGTGTGTGTGTGTGTGTGTGTGTGTGTGTGTTACTTGAGCAAGAGATTTTTTGTGTTTAACAGTGATGGGAATGTTGTTGATGTCATTAGTGACTGGGTGTTTTAAGTATTTGGCTTTTGGCTGCCTGGTCATCTGTCAAAAAGTCAGTCAAATTGTGAAAGATCTGATGGTTCGCTGAGTTTCATGTTAAAATTGGATTAGCCAGCAATTACTGTGGATGTTTCAGCAGATATGTACCAGATATTTTTAGATAAAGGCTGCCTTAACCTTTAGAGAGATGAAAATAGTTGACAGTGTGCTGGAACTCTGTCCTGTCAGCTTAGCATTGTTCGAAGGGAATGACTGTGTAAAGTGATTTTGTTTTTTTGTTTTTTTACGTCTTTACATGGCTGTTTTGACCATAATAAACACACATTTGACCCAAAGGGATTTGAAATTTTTCAGGGGATTATTCATGGGGCAGCATACAGTGAGTCACAGATGACTTTAAGGAATCCCAGAACTAAATATAGGATTACTGTAAATGGAAGAAGAAACAAAACAATACAGGGGATAGAACAGATGAGTGGAAGAACAAAGCAGCTGAGGCTTTAACACGAGCTGACTGTATGACCTCTTTTTGTCTGACGCATAATTGTGAAACACCATTTACAGTCTAGCGGTTTGTCATTTTCCAGTACAATTATTTTACAGACTATTACAGTTTGCTGCTATGGATTGAAGTTTTTTTTACTACTAGTAAAATACATTGTGCAGTAATTTCCTTGATTGTTGTCACTTACACCCAGAATGCAAAATACAGTACACGATCAAACACACACATTCACACGTGACTTGACAAAGATCTGACATGAGACATTCTGGTCTCTCCACATGAAACATAATTATTCATAAATATACAGTATACTGTATATGGATGTTCTTAAACTAACCTGTAGATGCACTCTACAAAAGCTCAGTGGCAATGAATAAACACGTTTACTTTAAATAATTCTTCAGTAGATAAGGTCCATTCCATATATTAGTTCAGTAACAAACACTCAAATACTGGATTTGGGAAGTAAAATGAAGACAAATCTGATCATGTGAAATGAAAGAGGAAACAGTTTTCTTCATAAAAGTATATTGTGTCTGTGTGCAAACAAAAAAGCTTCACACACACACACACAAACAACAAGTACGGCAGGGTTCTCTCTTGACTGCATGACCGTCTCCCTTTCATGCATGTGTTGCATGGTATATAATATTTTTCTGCATCTTGTTTTGAAGTTACATTATTTCTAACACATTCCGATGTGTATAAACACCAGCCCCCATTCAGCTGTGCGTTGTGGGCATGTTCTGTTCTACTCACATATTATATGTAGGGGTTTATATATTTATTATACTAGTTATATATTTTTTGGTTGTTGCAGCCGCTGTCTCAGAGTTTTGGCTATTTAACAGCAGCAACTGGCTTTCTGACAGATTTTATCTACTGCAAATGTTCAGTGAGTTTAAACATTAATATTACTAAACAAATTTGGTCTTGGATCCATCAAATCATGCAAGTAACTGTATATTACTTCATTTGTGGTTAACCACAAAGACCATGACCCAGTTAGGACACTGATCCACAATTTAGCAAAAGCATGTAATTTGTTTTATGACCAGAAGATGTAGAGGTTGTTTTTTTAAGTGATTAAATAGTGGAATACCTCTTTTGTTTCCACTAGGTCTCATGCACTCAGTTGGTTGTTGTTACTGCTAACTCTCCTCTCTCTCCACACCAGCTGGTTTTTCCAGTGGGGGCACATGATTTTTCATGAGTGTGAACTGCCTTGATATTTTATTAGTAGCTCATTATCCAGTATTACAAGCTTATAAAACAGTACCACACCTGAATAGATGTTTGGTAGAATACAGATTATAGTTATTTCTTTGCTCTGCTTAGTTCCAGCTCCTAGAATCCTTAGGAGTAGTGCTGCCAAGCTGTTCTACATTGAATAAAACACTTAAGCCTGGACATTTAGTTACATTTTAGGGAGAGCCCCTGAAACCCTATTGATAGGTATGAAAATAGTATAATTAGTATAGTATAGCATGGAAATCATATAACTGCAAACATCATTACACTTATTTACTTTGTCATTGGTCAAGCCTGTTGAATGTTGTTATAAAATTTTCTTGGCGCAGTATTTATAAAGACTTCTAAGAATTATAAACATTGAGACTGGTCATCCAGATCTTTTGCACTGAAGCCCTTTCAACCCTCTTTCTCTTAAAGCAAAACAGCTGTGTTCTGTTACATTTTAAACACTTTGCCTTTACTTCCAACTTCCTTCCTGTCTCCTTTCTTCTCTCCTCTCCTCCAACCCTACCGTTCCTTCCTCACTCCCCCTTTTCTAGCAGCTGCCCCCACCAGAGGATGTGCCCCCACTGCCCAAATCTGGTAACGTTCAGCAAAGGCTGCAAACACTGCGGATTGCCACACGCTTTTACTGCGCCGTGAAACACGTAAGAGATGTAAGAAAACCAGGGCTCATATACCAGGCATGATCTATTAAACCAATATTTTTATTTTTTGTACTGCCAAGCATTTTTGTTTCCTCATCTTCTTGAGGCCAATGCAGTTATTTCAAGAGTGTTATTTTGTACATTTTCCATCCATTTAAAGTCACCTTTTGCTCAACTTGGCAGCATGTTCAGTTTTAGTTTTTCCCAGACACCTGCATCTTACATATATCTGAAACATTGGAAAGCAAGAAGTGAGAGTGTAATGTGGTGGCATGGCATTGGGAGACTCACTGTTGTCAAAAAAAAAACAAAAAAAAAAATCAGGAAGCAGAGATGGAAAGAGAAAATACATACTTGCAACACAAGATGATTAATTTCATTTCAGGGAGAACTTCCTTGCTTTGTTGGTATTTTTTCCAAGCTAAAGACTGGAACTACAACTGCTAAGTTGCACAAAATAGTACTCTGTTCTGCAGTACAGAGTACACACTCACCACAGCAGAAATAAAGACAGTACACATTATGGTTTATTCTCTAAACCACTGAAGAATGTGTACTATATATACACTGTACAGTAGTGCAGTCAGGTGGATGGATATTCTGAAGAAGTGTACATTATGGTCCATTTTCCATGGATATTAACAAGTTTGAACTTAACAAGAATAAATGTACTTGTATATGTATAATAAATGTGTTCAGAGGAGAAGGTTTCTCTCCCCACGCAGTCAGTGAACAGTGTGTGATGGCAGTCAGCTGGAAAGACTTTCTGTAGCAATCTAAGTGAAGCTAAAGAAGTCTCTGACTGAAGGTGCTCTGCCGTTTGACCAGTAGGTTGTGTTCTCCATGATGTTCAACAGTTTGTGCAGTAACCTGTGATGAGGAGAACCTGTCCCTTAAAACAATAGAGTGGAAAAAATTATGGTTTGTTGTTTGTTTTGTAAGGCTGTACAGTTTGTCGGTAGCCTGGCCCAAAGGCAACACAATGTTGTCTTTAAATTTTTTTTTAAATAGCCGCATCATTTTGGGATAATAAACACTAGTGTACAATCATAGACAATCATTTTCATCCTTAAGTAAGTATGGCGAATACCTGTGTCTAGGTTTGGTTCTAGTTTTGGGAGACTTCAGGGGTGATAGGAACCTAACGAATCGTGTCGAGCTGAGTAACGTTCATCACAGCAGCGCCTCCCTCCTCTAAACAGAAACCAACAGAGAGAAAATACAGTGGAGAAATAAAGCAGGACAGTTCATGTCAACCCCAGAGGCTATGCTTGGTGATGGTTAAGGGAAATACAGGATATACTGCTCATTAGGTTCCAATAGTGGAAATGCAGCAATTGCCTGCTGTTTCCCAAAAATGAATCAAGCACATCATACCCTTGATTCATCTGCCATACAGCTTTGCAAGGGTCATCAACCCATTCTTTTTTCCTACCGCTAACATGTCTGTTTTTTTTATTGCAATTAGTGTAACAGAAAAAAAGTTGCAGACCAACTGATAGGATCAAATGCATGACTGGGAAAAAGACATAAGATGTAATGAACCAGTAGAAAGGACTATTAATGGAAGTAAGTGACGGTTGAAAATGGATTTGTAGTAAGAGTTGGGGTGTCAGTGCATGAGAGGCCTGTAAAATATTTTCAGATTATGCCCACTTGTTGCAGTCAGCCTTACATTACATCCCCATTTATGTTTGATGGTGCATTTATATTCAATCAATTTGTTCATCCCATATTTATTGCAAATTGGAGGTCTATGTCTGTATATGTATGCATATACACAGTGGTATGCAAACGTTTGGACACCCATGGTCAAAATTTCAGTTACTGTCAGTGGCTAAGCAAGTACACTATGGCTTCATTTCCAAAAGGCATAAAGTTAAAGATGGCACACTTATTTAATATTTTAAAAAAAGATTACTTCTTCTTTGCAGTTTCAAAATAACAAAAAGGAAGAGGACCCAAAGCAAAGGTTTGGGCACCCTGCATGGATACTTGGTTTGGTATCACAGCTTGTAAACACATTTTGTAGCCAGCTAAGAGTCTTTCAGTTCTTGTCTGTGGGATTTTCACCCATTCTTTCTTGCAAAAGGCTTCTAGTTGTTCTCTTTTCAGGTCTGTCCCACAGTTTAAGGTCTGGGGATTGTGAGGGCCATGTCGAAACTTTCGGCTTGCATCTTGTGGGCCTGTGGATACTGCAGTGTGGTTTAGATATTCTGTTATAAAAAATGTGTTGCATCTTCAGCTTTTTAACTGGGAGTGTGACGTTTGCTTCCCAGAATTTTGGATTTTGCTGGGATTTAATCAAATCCATTCTCCCCTGTGCACTTGTGTTATTTGCATTACATTTTGCATCCTGTTTTTCTCTAAGTATACTCACTCAGGCTCACTGCAGCATAAAGTTCTGCTTTAACTTCATAGATCCATGCCACTCATTTCCAAAATGCATCGGGCTTGTTTAGATGTTCCTTTGCAGACTTCTGATGATGAATTTTGTGATGAGGACACAGGAAAGGGTTTCTTCTGATAAGTGTTCCATGAATGAAATGAACTGATGAAACAGCTTCCTGGAAATGAGGTGCTGTCTTCTTGTAGTCTTCTCCTACTTTGTGGGCACCAGTTATTTTAATTTTCAGTGCTACTAGGCAGGTAATTGGAGGAGCCAGAATATTTATAAATCTTAATAATTTGCATCATGATTATTGTGAACAAGTCACAGCCCTAACAAGCTACAGGCAAAATATATTTATCCTCCTTAAAATGTTGACAAGTATGTTTAATCCTTATGCCTTTTGGAGACATCTTCAGACCATCTCACTTAACTAAATTCACAGTAACTAAAATTTTAACCAGGTGTGCCTGAATTTTTGCATATGCATTCGTGTATGTGCTTAAGTCTTATTTTCTAAGATGTGTTCATCTCTGTAAAGGTGTATTCTGTATGTGTGTATGTATGTCTGTGTGCTGTCCAAGCTCCTCCTAATGCTGTTACTGTATGTGTTGCTGCTCTTCCTCTGCTCCCATAAAAAAAATATTAAAACATTGTAGACACTAAACTGCTGCCGCTGCCCTGTTACCTCATTTCCTGCTCCCCCAACCCATCCTTCCTCACAAAAAACCTCTTCCCCCTACAGGCTGCTGGGAGTTTTGCCGCAGCCTGGTTCAGAAGAATGTTAATCCCAGGAGAGAGATACTTAAATAGGAAACGCTTCATTCTTCTCATAGGCTGGATAATGGGAATGCATCAGAAAGATTCACTGGCTTTACAGTGCTATGAAACATGGTTTATATTAGCTGCAACCAGCAGTCTGGTTTCCAAAAAGCATCTTAGATAAACGATGTTAGTACTTGTCTCAGGAAGAATATACTCTGTTATCAAACTAGTAAGAACATATGCTTTTTGGCATCCAGCCCAGTGTCACCAAGGACGTTTCCTGGCTTTGAGTCCTTTTTTCCATGGCACATAGTGTATAAATCTACGAGATTATTCAAACTGATGTGCACTGTGTCACAAAAAATGCTGAGTTCCCTGTGTTTCATGGTGCTGTGAAGTGAATGTATTTCACTCTAAACAATATGGAAAATGTTGCTAATCTCCAATACCAGGCCAAGGAGCTGCCCACTTACAAGGACAATGACTTCATCAATGATGGGCAGAAGATCTACATTGATGAGGAAAAGAAGAAAATGTTTCTGGAGAAGCTTAGGAAAGATGTGGAGGTATGTGTTAAGTAAAAATGAAAATGTGCCTCTTGGTTAGTTCAGTTGAGGTTGACACTATAGATTTTGATGCTTATAATGATGTTTACTGGATTCAGAAAATAATCAAGCTGCATTCTTGGTTTATAGATTTAATTTAATATTGATAAAATTGGCATTTTCACACTCAATAATCCATAATGACAATATGAAAATGTTTTTAGAAATGTTCATTAATGTATTAATTATCAAGGACTGAATTCTGTCATTAACAAATACAGTATATTCAGACCCTTAATTCAGGACAACAGCTTCAAGTCTTCTTGGTTAAGTCTCTAAGATTTGCATACCTGGATTTGGGTAGTTCACCCCATTTTTCTGCATAAAGATGATCTGTCACCCCAACCTCAGGTCACAAGCGCTCTTCAGGAATCTCTCTGTACACTCACTGGCCACTTTATTAGATACACCTGTACAATTGTATGCAATTCAGTGCAACACTTCTGCCACTTCAAAGGTGTTCCTAATATTCTGACCGTCTCATATATTATGACAATTTCACCAAAAACTTAAATATTCATAAACACAGATGTTAAGGTGGAAGTGTTGTACTGAATTGCACATTTTATGAAGCCTCTGCATGTAGCAAGATGCAGCTATTTGTTTTGATATTTTAAGGCAGCAAATCTTGCAGTTTGTATTAATGCTTTTTGTTTTTCACTGGCTCCACATTTTCAGCTTTCCCTCTTTTTCCATTCTTTCCAGTGTCCCTTCTCTCATGCTTCTCCCATCTCCACCCATGCTTATATTTTCTCTAATGTCCAACCTCCATCACTTGTCCTCAGTTCCTGGCTCAGCTGAAGCTCATGGACTACAGTCTGCTTGTGGGGATTCACGACGTGGAGCGAGCCGAGCAGGAGGAGGTGGAGAGCGAGGACAATGAGCCTGAAGAGGAGGCGGAGAGTGATGGAGGGGTTGTTGGGACTCCGCCTGACAGCCCTAGCAACACCCTGGACAGCACTAAGCCTATGTCACCTGGAGAGTTTGATCCCGCCATTGACGTCTATGCCATCAAAAGCAATGATAGTGAGTAGCCAACTACATGTGGATTTCAGGTCTGGAGCACAGTGGTAATATAACTGGCACTGTGACGGCTATAGTTGTCAGCTAAATAATACTCTGACTTCAGAAAGAGAGCAGAAAGATTCTCTGGCTTGATCAAAAAAAAAAAAAAAAAGTTCTCTTTGGGCAGAACTCCAAACACCAGGCAATGCTCATCACCCGCTAGTACTACAATAAAAACTGCACACAGTAAAATGTGCAAAAAGTGAATGGGTCTGAAGCCTCTATAAATACAGTACTTAGAGCTCCACCTACTGGGGCCTGTGACTTTCATCAATGCTATGAAGATCTTTTGAGGGTTTTGTTGTTTTTTTTTTTTTCTTCTTTTCATATTTAGCACTACCAGATTTTTCTTGATGGTGCTGTGCAGATACTGTATATGAATGAATTCTAATTTAGGGTGCATTTTGTTTTAAGCTGCTCCTAGGAAGGAGGTTTACTTCATGGCCATAATAGACATCCTGCAGCATTATGATGCCAAGAAGAAAGCTGCTCACGCTGCCAAGACTGTCAAACATGGGGTATGGCGCTCCATACAAGCATTATTTTTAATTGGTTCTATTTGAAAATCCATGACCTGTAGACAAGTTTGCACGATGAATGTCATTTGTCTCTGTGTCCACCTGCAGGCCGGAGCAGAAATCTCCACAGTGAACCCTGAGCAGTACTCCAAGAGGTTTTATGATTTCATTACCACTATCTTGTCATAGCCTCCAGAGGAGCGACAGGAGGCACAGAGGCACAAGGGAGAGGGAGTGGAGTGTAGGGTGGTGAAGAGAGGTGACTAAGAGAAACCCATTGAGAGGCTGAAGTAACAAGGCGCTGCTGATGGCTTTGGACCACTCTCTCTTATCCATCCTCTTCATCCTCTCTCTCTTTCAGTGGGGTACCATGCTCCGCAGCTATTAAAACATTATTTGTTTACATTTAACCTCTTCTGTTGAATTTTTTTATGAGTTTGGATGATAAGAATATTGAAAGCAGTTGTCCATGTTATTATGTATTTTATACAATTTGTTTTGACTGTCTGTTTATGTTGGAATATGGCTTTTTAATTCAGCACCCAACTTTATTTTTTAATTTTGATGTTTGTATTCCCTTTTAATTTTCATGGAGAGGGGATATCATGGTGTAGTGTGAGATCCAGGGGAGTGCAGAGGTCTCTCTAGCAAAGAGCAGACCTGAGTGGGACGTAAAGAGGATTCTATATTGCAAACACTTCATTTCAAGAAGTCTTCCACTAGGTCAACAGCCAGGCCACCAACCATATGATATACATGTACTCAGCCAAACAATTCTTCCCTTTAGGTTTCCTCCTGCATCACTCGCCCTTTAGATTGCCTCCAATCCACGTTTGGACCTCTCAAATGAATTCTGGGTTATCTTCATGCCACATGCTCATACAACACTTCCCCTTAGCTAAGCTGAGTGCCCTGGTTGTAGTAAATTATTTTGCTTGTATCCTTCTGTCAGCGCTTTATTAATTTTGCTATGTTGTGATGAACAGTGATTAAGTATGATTGAGGGAAGGATATGTAACTTAAAATGAGAAGAGGAGGGGCTCGATTGTGCCGTTTCTCTTTAGTGTCATTTACTCGGATTCACTCTGGACAGTTTGGGCATTGTTAAGTAGCCGTGGTTTGTGTTCCTGTGACGAAGAGTAACCCAGAAGTGTTGTGTGGCTATCACTCCTTGATATACCTTCCTATAGGGTTTCTGATTGAAACATGGAAATCCTTTGACTTTCTGTTGCCATCAGCACCTTATGAGTAAAATGTAAAAAAAAATTGCACTTTTATTTGTTGTTAGAGGTTAGAAGCTGTTGTTCTATTACATGTGCTGCAACAAAGGAAAAGGAGCTTAGAATTGAATCTTGGAAGCCTGAACTCAAGCCCTGTCTGCTCCACCACGTCTCACCTCTGGGTACTTAACAGGGATTGGCTGGGAAGAGTTTACTGCAATATTAGATGGGGAAAGTGAACAAATTCAGATTACAGGGCCTTTGTAAACCTGTCCAATCCTTTTAGAAGTGCTCTGTGGGATCGGGGCAGTCGGTTTGAGGACCTGCCTCCACTTGTACATTCAGGGCAGACAGAAGACATTTTACCTCCAGCATCGTACCAGCACACACCCAGTGAAGGCAACTGGTGTGTGTGTCAGTGTTTGAAAGTTGTTAAGTGGTGAGAAGAAGGAGGAGGAGGAGGAGAAGGGAAGTTGTAGCTGCAGATTTAAAGATATGTGGTGTTAAGTCCTAAGCAGCACTGTTCTGTTCTCTAACCTGTGCTGTGAGCCTGTTATTGATTGTTTGTGTTGTTGTTGTTGTTGTTGTTCACATTTTTTAAAGGTGGTTTATCTGTTTTTGAATTTGGCAGTTTAATGAATTGATGTTGTAACAAGTTTTTTGTATATTTTGCACAAGAAAGGAACCAAATGTTACAAATATGATCCTAATTAGTTGATACAGTCTTAACAAAGAAAATGCAATATACTTGTATGTAAGTGAAAAAAGCTTTTGTGCGTGTGATGTTCTGTATCACCTCTGCATAACAGACTAAAACAAGTAAAATTTTGCCTAAATGTTCCAACACATGCAAAAAACGTCCAACACAATATGTTTAGATATCACAGACTATATTTACATTTATATTTTTACATTGGATTTTTGGTGTGAAATGTGGTTGTATTTAAAAAGGAGCCACCCTTAGGAATGAATGATGGTGCTGTAGTAAATGAAGAATGATACTGTTTGAATTTATACTATGCTTAATAGAGTTGTACTTAAAAAAAAAAAAAAAAGTCAAACAATATTGCATGACATGAGACCAAGTTCTCCTTCCCCACTGTTGTTGGCTAGTCAGTTTCCTTTGTGTCCCTCCACTTCAGCATAAAATAGCCCCTACCATGCTTTAAAATAACGGTTTATCATTATATACACTGTGCAAGATGTGTGCCTTTATACTTCAAAATTATTTAATTTTGTAATTTTTTTTTATACAGAGGTAAAAAGTCTGTCAGAGGTTTTTAACATGTATTATTTTCTACTTTATTTTCAAAGCACTCTTCAGCCTTCTTCCACTTCATGTTTGGATTTGTTTGTGTTATTTAGTCAGTTCAACAAAACCATTCCAATTTGTTTTAACCTGACAAAAAAGTGTATAATGGTCTTAAATTTGAAGCTAGTGGATGGGTTTCAATGGTGCACACTCACATCCACCATTGTGATTATTCGGTGTACAGGCATCACTTCGCTCATACTCAGACTTAATGTGTTGATATAAATCCTACTTTGTTCACGCTGGTTCTACCTTTATGAAGCCTGTTTGTGTGGAAGTGCATCGTGCAGTCTGTGTGTGTGTGTGTGTGTGTGTGTCGTGATTGTGTTTTGTCATTCTTGTCCTTAACTGACAGCTTCCCCCATTTCAGGGGTTCTCACGTTTCCCTGCAAACTACAGATGCAGTCATATTTGTTGAAAATAATTGTGTTTGTCTAAAATTTCCCTTATCGTGAATGAAATCCGGTTAATTTCTTAAAAGGGTTTGTTCTCTTGCCTCCACGTTTTTGTGTATGAACCGATAAATTATTTCGTGTCAGTGGTTTGTTGATATTCCTGTGCTCTTTCACTATATATCGACTTTTGTGTCTGTTGTCACTTAGCTCGTAATGCACATAGGCTGTAAACAAACCGATCCTTGAGGGAACACAATCAGCCTCCAGTCTGCTTCCGCTCTGTTCGGCCGTGAAGGCCTCCTTTAGCCGAGCATTAGCAAGTGTGGTAAACAGAGCAGTGCATGATGGGAGAATGAGTTTTTTTTCTATTCTGTTAACGCTGGCTCCGTGTAAAGAAGCCGGCGATTGCCTCTGGCAGATGCAAATTAGAGGCAGCACACACCCCCCAGCTGGTGTCCTTTGCAATGAATAAGTCCCTGCTTTTATTACCTGTAATGAAGGAGCTCCGTCAGACATCACCCCCAGTCCACCTGCCCCCTCCATTAACCTGCTAAAAGCAACTTTCAGCAGTCAGAAGCTTGAAAAACATTGTGTACTGTATAATTGGTGTCTGTGTTTGAACCAAATGTGTTTTTGTGGGGTTCTTTTGCTTCACTGGGAGATGGAGCGAGGCGTGCATCGCTCATATGAAGAAACCCGAAGTTGTGGAAGCAGCCATGTGTTCACATGGCTTATGAAGTGTTAAGGGGAAATTAGATCACTAATGCAAATGACCAGAGGCCAAGCTGGGAAATTGTCCATTAGCTTTAAAATTAAATATCAATAAATATTTGAAGAAATAAACAATTTATAAAAAAAATAGTTGAATCTAATATGTGCATACAGAAGTCAGCACATCCCCTTTGCAGAATGAGCGTTGGCTTCACAGCAGCCCGCAGTGCTTGTACACTATCTAGACTTAAGCATAACTGTGTGTGTGTTTACTGCTGCCTCACAGTGGTCGTCGAGAGCACCCTTTCAAAGGCCAAAATGATGTTGTATGTTTATTGTTCTTCTTTAATGACGATGGTGATAATACACTCCACTTCACAAGCCTTCACCTAAACAAATTAAAGCACCCGTTCTGCTTAACAATGTTTGTTCTTGGCTGTTTACCTTGTTCATTTTTTCAGTGCTTAAAATGTTTAATTGAAAGTTTAAATCATATGTGACACATTGTTTTAACCCAGGTTTCATATGACTCCTATATGCAGGGTTAAAGAAAAGGAGCTTTGTGGGTTTTAATTGTCACCATTTAAATTTTTGTTAACAAAATCAGAGGCATTGCTTATATAGTGTAATTATTACCTTTGTGCATCGGTCTCATCACCACTTCTTGCTGATTATATAACGTATAATGCAGTTCAACAAAATAAATCTATACCTGAAAGATAAGGATGTAAATAAGTTGTTAACAGTTTGCAAATAGGAAGATAAGATTTAAATGGCGACAAATGGTAATGTGTTATTAATGGGCGATTCTCCGTTTTTTTTTTAACTGATTAAGACATAGGATATAACCACAACCACCTGAGTGAGATGAGTTATACGGACAAATGAACCTTATTTTACATATCACCCTGTTGGATTTCTAGTTCATGAAACTCGTAGAAGATTGTAAATGCGGTAAATTTTACCTGTTTGTCAGAACAAATCTGTAGTGACATGCTTATACAGACTGTTCTCCAGCTGAGTCGGAGTTCATATGACGCTGTTTCCTCTTTTAACCTAAATCCACAATTAAAATATAAAAAACAATCTGCTCATCTAAAACTGGTCACTTTCATATTTTCATTCCGTTCAGCCTTTTGTCCTTCAAAAGTTAAGTCTCCGTCCAGTATGCAAAATATCACCCCACACATGAGACGGAAGATTATTTATTTTTTTTGTTTTTTCAATCAGTATGTGGAACTTAATATTCATTTGCTATTTTTCATTTCGAACTAAATGTTACTGCAATAATAAACGCGTATTTTGGTGACTGGTTGTTTTCATTAGTTTGTAGTTCATCTAATTAGTGTCTCACACCCGGAGACTTGAAACTAATATTTAAATGCTATATCCTACATTTTTGAGCCCAAATCATCCCGGAACACTTCAGCCAGCAGCTGTCACATCCTAAAGTCTGAGTTGCTCGTTACATTCCGCCATGTGCGCACATTTAAGATGCTTGCGTTCATCCCAGTGAAACGGTTTATCAGTTTTTATTTTATTTTATTTTATTTTTACTATAGTGTTAAATGTCTAACTCCGACATTTTTGCACCTTTAATTTTAACAAAATGTTTGCCTTTCCGTTCAACATCGGCAAATAAAAATAAAGATCTTGTCCTACCAGGAGACTGACACAACGGGCTATTGGACACACACGCCTGCGCATCTCGGACAAGCTCTAATGATCCAGGTTATTTTTTCGATCGTGTTGCTGTGAATTTTCGTTGAATGCCTCCGTTAACGCGTAAACAGGTGTGTTTATAGATTACAGCATAGTCCTATATGCTAAACTCTTCATAGCCAATGATTTATTTACAAAGGGAAATCCGTCGTGCAGCTCGAAAACTTGTTCAGTTCTCTAAGAAAACGTTTTGAGATGACCTAAGTTACACCAAACAATAAAATATCTCCAATGTGGGTGTAAACTCTGATCTCTACAGACGGTGGCGGCTGGAGTATTTGCACCGGTACTACAATGTGGTGAACAATCAGAGACGACCCAGCAGACAATAAACAAAGAGCGGCTCCTCCAGCCGCTGCTCGCGCGCGCACAGCTGAATGTAGTGAGAGAGCACGACCGCCAGGGGTCAGTCTGCGCCCAGAAAACCACAGCAGAGGAAGCGATTCATTATCCCAGCTACTTGTCTTCATTTATTTGTTTCTTCTCGGCATTTTATGCTTTTACAAAACTTTTTCTATAGTAGACTGCTTATCTGAAGTGCGCTAGTCTGAAACAAGGGCTCAGATTCACATCTATACAAGCATTCAGCCTGCTAAGATGTCTTTGAGCAATACACTAATTCCCCACCACCTCCAAGGTTGCTGCTCTGTTACTGAACCTGACCTTTGACCTCTCACTAATGGGTAAAAGACATTGGTAGAAATGTCTCACTGGTAGTGAATGTTAAAGAGTGCAGAAGTTGTTTGAATGGAATAAGGTGTTCCTAGCCTCAGGCAAAATATTTAAAGGCGGCACATAATAAAGATGATGGGCTTTCTTTTCGTTTCAGTCTCTAACAGTAATGACACTTGTAGTGGACATATCCTGCTCTGGCATAATGCACACTGTACTTGCAGTCACTAACACTAGCTGGAAAGAAGAGTGTAACCTCAACATAATATAACAGATGGAAAAACCACTTAAAACAGCTTAATTGTATTATCAGGGCATATGCACTGTGCATCTTCAAATAACAGAGTGTGAACTGAAGTCAGGCCGGCTGGAAGTTCTCTAACCTCTCCAACAAGGTGTCTGAGTATCCAGGGGAATAATACCTGAAAGAAAACACACACACACACACACACACTGTAAATAACTTATACTGAAGGACATAGATTTCCTTTACCATTATTTTTCAGCTAATGCTGAACTTTACTTTTTGTTCCTAATCCATTTAATATAGTTTAACCTATGTATATCTGTTGAGTTTATTCTTATGTAACATTCAATTAATTTATTTCATTCAATTGAATTCATTTTATTTAGAATAATGTTACTGAATCATTTTGTTCCTCTGAAAAACACTCCAAAATAAAGTACAAGCTGTAGGACAGGTTTTGTGACAGTGAAAGGAAACCTTTCTCACTACAGCAGCACACAGCTTGTTATGGTCATGTGCTGTGATGACTCATTCCTAGATTCCTGTTTATTTCTCTCACAGATACACACAGATGAACAAAGTGTTTAGCATGTCTGTGTGCACCTGACAATCTCTTCGGGGAAACTGCTGTTGATGGCGTTAATGTACTCCTGCAGAGGGGACCCGGGCTCGGCATCGATCTCTTGCACTTTCTTCAGACCCCCGCTGGTCACGAACAAACGGCGAGCCTTACTGTCATGAGGCAGCACCTTTGATGGGAGGGTGTATAATAAAAAGATATTGTATAAACCTGTGTGATCATAATCTCTTAAATTTTAAAGTTTGAGATTTATCTGGATTAAAAATGCTTGTGATGCTCGCTCACCTTGCTGAACTGGCAGACCACGTGTTTGAGGATGTTGCTTGGAGCGTCGTAGAGGAGTGGCTCCAGAGCAGGCAGGTGGGTGCACTTCTGTAGGATGCTCTTCAGAGCCTTCTTACTCTAGAAAGTAAAGGACAAGAGAAGTTAAATACACTGTTTATCTAGCTTTCTAGCAAGTGACCTCTGCCTTAATCTCTGATCTCAGCTGACCTGTGACTCAAAATTTCTTCATGTATGGTCTTTAAAATAAGTCGCATTAAGTTTAAGATGATAAAGAATTACCGAGCCTGTATAAAAATTTAAGTGGACTATTCATTATAGCTATTAGCCAAGAATAAAAGATTTTTTTTCACTTTGATTTTAGTTAGTTTCAGTAGTCTTACTTTGGCCTGCAGGTCCTCTGAGCTGCTGGCGTCCATGTAGAGGTGCAACAGTTTAGGCAGCAGGTTGGCTGTGGCCACCGCCTTAGCGTGCTCAGGGGTGTGATGCCCTATCTGACCAATGGACCAGGCTGTAGCGGCCTTGATGTGTTGTTCGGGTTCCTCAGACAGACACAGGGACAGCTGGGGCACCCCCTGCAGGACGGGAGGACACACAACAAGACCAGTTCACCTCATATGGCCTACATAATCAATCTGTAGGAATGCTGGGTTCAGCTGCCACATGCAGGTGAGATTAACCAGACACACATACTTTGGAAAGAATGATGGCCATAGCAAGGTTCTCACTGTGAGCTGCCACATATCCCAGCATCATGATCCCTGGCAACCGCAGGTTTCCATTGCAGTCACCCAGATAGTCGATCACTGCTGCCATGCCACCACAGTTCACAATCACCTGGGACAACTGGAAACATATACATGCATTACTTTGTGTCCAGTTGTCCTTGTGAACCTCATATTACTCACATTGTGGGGACTGAAACTTGTTTACACGCTCACATTGTGGTGTCATCTTCTGACGTCTTCTTCCTAAATCACTGAATTTTGTGGTGATGACTTGGTTTAAAGTTATGGTAAGGTTAGGGTTAGGCAAATAGTGGTTACCTCTGGTGTGTGTTTCACCACCTCCCTCATCAGAGTAGTGACATTCTTCCTGACATACTCATCCGGGTCTCTGAGGCAGGCTATTGCTGCAGGGAAGATTTCAGCCTCTATCACCATCTCTGCCAGGCTGACTGAGTGTTTACTGATCTGGCTGAGGGCTGAGAACACCTGCCTCTGGATGGAGACAAAAACATGGCTAATTAGTTCATTCAGATTTTTGCCACTGAAATTGAATTATGTCGGAACATCACTTTTTTTTCATCTGTTAAATTATATGTTTTTTTAAAGCGTTAAACATACTATCTAAACTTATTAAATCTACCTGCATTCAATGCTAATATAGCATTTTGATTGGTTGCCAAAAGGTACTTAAATTTAACCAAAACAGAGTGCAATAAAGACATCAAACAAAAAGATATAAAAAAAATTACTGAACAGTAAAAACAAGGTACATTGTAAAGTGACGAGTGTATTTAACTTGAGCTTATTATGCTGATAAAATAGTATTGCTGCAAGCACCGTCTTAGCAACTGATGGCTTTCAGCTGAACTGTTCTCCATTTGTCTTCACAGCCGAAGGCATAGTCCTTTACAGCTGAACTATCACTTTTTACTCACACTTTACCAATTTGTCAGCATGAAATCACAACACAAATTTGTTACTCTATTCCACTATCTTGGCAGGTTGTACAACACTAGTAATCTGTAACATTTACTCAAAAAGGTTGATTTACTGCAACTAGAAATTGTATTCAATGTAGCATAAAGTACACTGAAAAAAATACCCTGCCTCATTTGCATTATAAGATTAAGAAAATCCTTTGCAACAGATTATTGTGTGGATCCAGAAAAATGTTAAGTAAAGATTTTAAGTCTGTGATGACGAACATTTCTCATTTAATTATTTCAACACTGCATTTGCATACAGTTGTGTGGAAGAATTTTCAAATCATTTTAACCCTCTACTGCAAAGCGTTGTCCTGAGGCAACAGAAAATCTCTTCTTCTACTTTTTACACTTGCAAATGCATTATCACATAGGCTATAAAAAATCAGTTTCAGGTGTGATGGGATGTCAAGGGGGAAGGTGGGACCTCCTTTCAGGAAGTGTTGCCACCTGGCTGCATGGTCTGTGTTCAAGGTGAGATGTTTGATCACTTTTTGTCCTAATAATCACTGATAACTTAGAAATAAACACTACTGGCATGTGTTTGAACATCTAATTAGAATTAATTCATTATTTGTGAGTGAATTTTCAATTTTAATTTAAGGAAAAATGCTATTTTCTGTTTGTTGTTCTAGGACAACATTGTGCATTTAGGCATCTTTTGTAGGCCACTGTATTAATCTCATATGGCATGTAAAATGGTACTAAGTGTTTAAAAGTGTTTCTTTATTTGCACTGAGTTTCACAGAAAATTGATCTATAGCCTGGAATCAGCCTGCTAGGAAAAGGAGGGATGTACCCTATGATAGTGAGGAGAAGACAGTGGGGAAGAATGGCACCCTGCAGTAGGTTTGACGGTCAGTGAAACTACTGAAGAAAGTAACTGTTGGAATTAAAACCTTAAGACTTACACCAGTAACATATAGGAATCGTTATAGAAAAGCACAACCAGTGTAAGCACTCAAGAAAATTAATTGTTTAAACATTTCAATTACAAATGTTTGGTTTCAGCTTCTCAGTATTGGAATTTTCTTTTTTCAAAGTTTTCTATCATTATTTAAATGAAATCTTTGGGTTTGGGGCTTGATTGAACAAAACAAGACATGAATGTCACTGGCCCATCATGGTAGATTAAAAAGGAGAGATGCAGGAAGCCAGGCTGTCAGGACACTCCAAAGTAATGTATGAAAAGTGTTGTGTACGCCTCTGCTTCACAGCGTCAGCAGCTGTTCCCTAGCCTTTCACAGGGAATGAACTTGTGAGGTGAAGTCAGTAATATCAGTTATCATATGTTCATTAATCAATTAACCGGTTGCTTCAATACATACTGGAATATGCTGCCTAACATTTGATGATCAAAACGCAAAGTCTATCAATGAAATTTTTGTTATGTTATGAAACTGAATAAAAGTGCTATTGTGGAAAACAGGCAGATTTTATACCAGTTGTGCAGTTAAGCACAACGTTGCCCTGAGGCAACAAAAGAAAAGAAAATTTAGGGCATAGGGGTCAAAGGTCAAAAATATCATGAGCAAAATATGATTAGAGGGTCACCTTGAAAAAAAAGGATGGCCAAACTTTTTTTTTACAAAAAATAAAAATGTGTGCAGCTGAGATGTCACATCTACACTTAATTCAGAAATCGCCGTATTGCTTGAAATCCAGAAAAGTTCAGTATAAGGGAAAGAAGAATATCAAAGAATGGAAACCAATAAAACACAAATATTAGACAGCATCTAATTTAAGTATATTTTCAAAAACAAATATTTTATCTCTTCTAATAAATATACTATTAAAATCATTGGTATTATGTGACTGAGAGAAATGACATGGAACATTAAAACAGAAAAACCTTGAGCTTCCTGAGGAACTAATGTTACATGAATATTTAGTGTATGTCTCAGATACTGATTTGATCTTATTTGCCATGCATTGTTAAAGAGCTTTTTAAAAAAAGAAAACCCCAAATTAACATTTTTTTAACAACAAGAGGTGATATTTAAAATCCTCTCCTTTCATGTAATCATGTGTTACATCGGCAGCTGTTTAAGTGATGCTTTCCTTTGAGCTGGCCTACCTTCAGCTTTGCATCTGGGTTGAGGATCATCTGAGCCAGATGTGCAATGGCACCAGTGTCGACCACAGTCTGGGCCAGCTCTGGTGTGTGTTTGGAAATGTCGCTGAGGGTGGAGGCTGCAATACGTTTAAGGGCCATCTCGGGCTCCAGAAGGCATAATACCAGTAGGGGAACAGCTCCTGCATCCACAACGGACTGTGACAATGCTGTATAGTAATGGAGAAAGGTGGGAAACCTGAATATGCGAATGTTGGTGTGTGTTCATATTAAATGTTTTAGTGAAAATGCCATTACAAAATGTATCTTCAAGTCAAGTCATGAAAATCCAGTGTCAGTGTGTCCTCTTTACATGCGTTGTGTCGTGCAATGCAGCCCAGGGCCCAGACGGCAGCCTCCTTCACAGCGGGGTTAAACTCTTCCAGGCAGAGAACCAGGGCGTCCACCCCCCCACAGGCCACCACAGCCTGGGACAGTTCAGGTGAGTGTTTGGCTACTGCACGTAGCACGAATGCTGCTGCTTTCTTATAGAACCTCTGCAAACAAATACGCATGTCAACTGTAATGACTCTGAAAAACTGTATATACATCAATAAACTGAGGGTCTTAATACACCTCTATTAGAAATAACATACAAGTAAATTATTTTGTTCTGTAATTAGATACAAATCTCATGCAAAGCCTGAAATGAAATTCTTTGTAGGTCCCTTTAATTATTTTCAAACTAATAAATGATTTAAACATCTCATGTACCCTGGAGTGCCCCCTGGGCTGTTTAAGAGTTGGAGCACACACCCCTCTTCAATTTGTTTTTCATTAAAACAGTTGTAAAACTGGGTTTTCACATTAGAGAAATAAATAATAAAATATGTAAATTTCCATAAAGAAGTGTTTTTATGTTAAGAAAATTACATATTATGATTTTTTAGATGTATATCATGTAACATGTATATGTGTTATGCAGCAAACACTGATTGTTTTTTGGTCACATTTTTGTTTTTATGTACAAGTTGAATTGGGTCAGATTTAAAGATTATTATAAGAGGATGCAATGTCCCATTAATAACAAGAACTAGGCCTTGTCTCCCTGCACTCTGTGCCTGAGTGGGCTGACAGAGAGAAAGCGGGAGAGAACAAAGGCCTGGTTGCTCTCATAGTAGAGGGCTCTTAGGTTTTGAAGTAGCCCCCAGGCAAACTGCCAAGTTAGTCCAGAACACACTTTAACATTCAGGAGGCTGACCCTGGGGTCCGGCAGGGTGACAGCCTCTGTCCGCCTCTCGCTCCCCTCTCTTACAGCAGCCTCTTAAGTGCACAGACAAACTGCCAGTGGCCCCACACGTCCAGGAGCAATAAATTAGCAGGAGGAGATACTGACGTTCTGTGAGGCCAGAGAGTGGACCAGCTGGGGCAGGATGTCTTCCCTCACTACAGCCTCAGCCAGGTCATCGCTGTGGTCTGCCAGGCGGCCCAGAGCCAGCGCTGCTGTCTGCTGGATGCTGGGGACCACATCCAACAACAGGGGACGCAACATGGACATCACACCTGCAGGAGAGAAGACACTACAAATAGCAGGTAATGCTAATATATTATTAATGGTTATAATGTGGTTTCTTACCAGCATTTTGAAGAATTTCTATGTTTTGTGGTCTGACTGCAAGATCAGCAACAGTTTGTACAAACTGCATCCGTGATTTCTGATACTGCTCGAAAACTGCAGAGCACAAATAGTAAAGACAGTGTGAATTAGGCTGCCAGCTGCTGTATCCCCTGCTTATGAATCAAAGCTGGTTGTGACTCTGACCTTGAATGATCTGCCGCTGACTCATTGTTACTCCAAAGAAAAATGCCTCCTTTTAACGATTTGTATACGTCTATCCACAAAACAAACACGCTGAATTAATCACAGCACTGAATGCAGCGTTTCTCTTGGTCGTATCCAGGTTTACGCTAGGTGCTGTTGTTGCTACATGTTGCCATGGCAACGGACAGGAAGCAGAATGTTCTGTTTTCACTGCCGAAGATTGTCTATTGTAGCGACGAGTCACTGCGTTGCTCTCTGATCGGCTAGTACGTCGCTTGTGCTCGTGTGTCCCGGCGTGTGTTATGTTCAGAGTGAGAGCTCTGTCACCGCCGTCTTTAGTTGCCACATGTGGCCTATGTGTCAATGACACCGTTATTCACCGCGTTTCAAAGATAAAGAAATCAAAATTAACGCCACTTTAACTACAGACAGTAGACAATCCAACATATAATCTGTTTACAGTATTTTTTAATTTTTAAACTTTTGCTTACCTTGCCTGTTCAAAGGTTGAGTCATCAAATGACTCGCGGGATGAATGGTCATAGTTATTTGCTTCATAAAGCCCGTTTAAAAGAACCCATGGTGCCTAATTATAGGTTAGGTTAGGCTTGAGTAATTGTTATTGGGCAACAAAATGTCACTGAAATGTGACTGACCCAAAGGTAGCCAAAAATCTTATTATTAGGCTAGTGCTACCATAGCAAACAAAAAGGCAATGAAAATGGCCTAGAAGAAAAGTAAATGCAACGATGATAATATGCGGAAATCCAACATTATTTTTTTATTTTTAAAAATAGGTCAGGTTTTGATTTTGAACGTGTCAGCCCACAACTGAAAGAGATAATTTAGGCGGTAGAGTACAGATGTGTTATTTCAAAGCCCAGGCTATTACTTGATGTGATAGTATAAATAAATACTCTTTATTCCATATCAACTATTAGAGTCCTAATGTTTGTCATTACAAATTAAACTCAATAGTTTTTTTGTGAAAGTGGATCATAGTCTACTCTAGTTTTGTTTAGGGCTATTTTCTTAGTCTTTTAACCTTCTCTTTTAAACGTAATCTAAATGTGGGTTGTCCTAGACTGTATCACAGGGAGCCTAAATATCGCATTAAATTAAACGAGTATTAATGGTCAGTCTCGATGTAATACAGCCTATTTCTGCGCACTAAAACCGTATTTTCACTTTTTAAAAATGTGTTGAGTAGACTAATGCAAAACCCTGGTTAAAAAGCATAGTAAATGTAACTAGACAAATGCATTTCTTGAAGAAAATGCGTGTGGGTGCTGTGTGTCTCTTACTGTGTGACTGTGTGATACTAAGTTAATTTTAATGTTTCTGTTTTAAGAAATTAAAATGTGTGCCTAACCCCTTTCCCTTGCCAAGCTGCATTAACCAATGACAGAAACCAGTAAATACACACCTATACAGGAGGTGGAGAGCTTGGTGGTTAACACCACTGACTGTGCTATGGCTGGTTGGGGTTCAGTTCTCTGTCAGGGCATGATAAACTGTTTTGCTAAGCTGTGTTAACCAATATCAGGAGCCAGTAAAAGTTCCAGCAGTGTTCCTGTACAGCAGGAGGTTGATACTACTGACTGTGGTGGCGGGTCGTAGGTTCAGTTCTCTGTCAAAGCAGTTGGATCATTTTGTTGAGTGTGATATAGATCCTTGTGCAATCTCCTTAATTGATAACATAAATCAGCAAAATTTCCAAATACGTCCCTGCATAGCAGGTGGATGGCTGTGGTATGGCAGGTTGGGGTTCGCGGCCAGTTGTGGGTCTTTCAGCAAGGCCCTTGGTGCTATCCGATGAGCGAGGTACACCATGAACGCTATGGTGAAGAGGAGTCAGGACACCAGGGAAAGTGAGGAGATGTCATCCTCCCCAACAATCGGAAAAGACTGAAGATGACAAAGATTTGCTTCTCGGGCAGGTAAAGTATAAGGGCTAAAACTAGGGATAGATGCCGTGGGTTTATAGTAGGGTCCTCCTGAAACCAGCAGGCTGGCAATACAAGTAGAAGAGAGAAAGGGGTAGAAGAAGAAAGGAAAGGGTTACCTGTGGTAGAGTAGGAGTAGGCAGAGAGGAGGTGAGAGAAGAGAACTGTTGTATGCAATTACAGTGTTCCATGTTGGTTATAAAAACTCAAGCATTTATATCAAAGTTGCTCAAACTCATTTGAAATTAGTTTGTCACTCTGTCTGTCCTAATTATAAGAATAACTCTGATCACAGAAAGACAGAAACCTGTACAAACTAACACATTTCACAAAAATCATCAAACATGCTGGAAAAGTCGACAGTTCTTACTAAATGCACATTTTACACAAATAAGATTTATTAAAGGGTTATTTGCATTCTTTATTCAGGTTTCTCAGTATATGATGCACTTTAAGGCTAAACAGAGTTTTAATGACAACTGTGTTTTATTAAAGCTTGTACATTGTATTTTGACATTTCTGTGTCTTAATTGTTTTTTGTGTATTGGTTTTTGTCTTTGGGAAGTGCTGAAAATAGCAAGCTGGCAACAGAGAAAGGTATCTTTATCTACTGGGGTTACAAAATACAATAAAAAAATGTTTTTAAAAAGCAGGGGATCTGGTATCTTTAACCTCCTACCAGATCTCCTATCTTTGTCCTCTCTAACCTCCTTCCTTACCTCTACCACAGATAACCCTCTCCTTTCTTCATCACGACCTTCTCTCCTCTACCATGTTTCCTGCTTGCTGGTTACAGGAGGACACCATCACGAAGCCATGGCGTCTAACTTTATCTTAGTCCTAGACCGTGTCTTCTTCAACCTTCTCAAGCTTCAATCTTGTGGGGAGGATGCTATCTCCCCCTAACCCTGGTGTCCTGGCTCCCCCAGCAGTGGCTTTCATGATGTACCTCACTAGGCAGACAGCATTTAGGGCCGAAGGACCCACAGAGCATTTGTGCATGTATGTGGATGTAACTATGGACGTGTGTAACTATGTTAAAAGAATCAATAAAGAATGAACTTTCCGATATCTGTCTGTTCATCACGCCTTTCTCCGTGTTGCCTCCTCCACCTCTATGAGCTTATTGCTCAGCTTGCTGGTTTCAGAAGACATTCCACTGACACTGAGGTTCTTAGTCTTAGTCATGACCTTCAATCTCAGGCTTTTGTAGACTGTTGGAGAATCAACAATAGTTTCCTTCAGTCCAACATCCAAAAGCAGCACAAACCTCTGGTGTTCTCCAATCTGTGATAATGACCAATAGCAGAAGCCAGTAAAAGTTCTGAATAGGTTCCTGTACAGCATGTGCATGGTGCAGTGGTTAAGGCCACTGACTGTGGTATGGCAGGTCGGGGGTTCGTGCCAGTTCGCTGAGCTGCTTACACAAGGAAAGATATGCAGGCCTGTATCTGCAGCCTCCAGAGTATGTCAGTGTCCACAGCCAGGAAAAGTGCAATTAACAAAGGTGACAACACCAAACATTTCTCCTTATCTTTTTACTCCACATCCTATTCTTCCACTTTCCCTGGCTACAGACACACCCTGGAGAATACAGACATCAACCTGCCACGGAAGATGACATCTCCATACTTTTCCCAGCTGTAGATACCAACATGCATATCTTTCCTTGTGTAAGCAGCTCGGTGAACTGGCATGAACCTACGACCTGCTGTAGCACAGTCAGTGGCATTAGCCACTGTGCCACCCATCAGCTGTACAGGAAACTGTTTAGAACTTTTACTGATTCCTGTTATTACCTAAAGTCATTGGTCAAGGAAGGAGGTTAGAGAACAGAGAAGAAATGAGATCAGGGAGGAGGTTAAAGATACCAGATCCCCTGCTTTTTAAAAACATTTTTTTATTGTATTTTGTAATGTAGTTAAGTATTTTGTAACCCCAGTAGATAAAGATACCTTTCTCTGTTGCCAGCTTGCTATTTTCAGCACTTCCCAAAGACAAAAACCAATACACAAAAAACAATTAAGACACAGAAATGTCAAAATACAATGTACAAGCTTTAATAAAACACAGTTGTCATTAAAACTCTGTTTAGCCTTAAAGTGCATCATATACTGAGAAACCTGAATAAAGAATGCAACAGCCCTTTAATGAATCTTATTTGTGTAAAATGTGCATTTAGTAAGAACTGTCGACTTTTCCAGCATGTTTGATGATTTTTGTGAAATGTGTTAGTTTGTACATGTTTCTGTCTTTCTGTGATCAGAGTAATTTTCATTTTTACCTGTTCATAGTTTATATTGACTTGTACAATTTTGTGTTATTTGTGTAAATAATGTGTCTTTTAAGCCGAGAGCTGCCGAAGAAATTCCCTTGTGCTATTAAATATATTCATAATGACAATAAAAATTCTTGACCCTTGACTAATTGTTATAATTAGGACAGAGAGTAATTTATCATCTCCGTTTTCCCTGACAAACTAGAGTTTTAGCAACTTTGATATAAATTCTCAAGTTTTTAGAACTAACATGGAACACTCTGTAATTGCATCCAACAGTTCTCATCTCTCACCTCCTACTCTACCACAGGTAACCTTTTCCTTTCTTCTTCTACCCCTTTCTCTCTTCCACTCATGTTGCCAGCCTGCTGGTTTCAGGAGGACCCCACCACGACCTAGTCTATCCCTAGTCTTAGCACTTATACTTTACCTGTGCGAAAAGCAAATCTTCTTCTTCGTCGATGCTGACTCAGCTGCCACACTATTACGTATAGGCCTGTGTTCCATAAAGACTAATATCTAGCCAGTACCGTTCCTCCTTCCATCTGTTCGCCTGGGTATTTTCTTAAATAGCTACAGTCTACTGCTCGTTTGAATTATCAAGGTTCAAACCAGCTTTATGATTTAGGTCTACTTAACAACTTTAAAAAATCTCCTAGATAAGTGGTTTAACCATCACAACTGTAGGCTATTTTAGGGCTTTAATATTTTACAATTAAATTAAATAGCCTAAACATTAGGTGAGGGGAAAAAATGCCGTGATTAATTCGTTTAAAATAGTTCCTTTGTTAGCCTACCTTTAGCATCCAACACAATCCTAGTATTCCAATGAAATGTTTTGTTAAGGAGCAAAGTCCAATGCTGGTTTACATGAGAACTAAAATGAATAATGAAATTTTAACACCTGTGGCAGTGAAATGCAACTTCTCGTGTGATAACTCAGTGCAAAAAAAAAATGTTTTAACAATCTCTTAGTAAAATGTATTCAAACAATGTGATCATGAGCAGATCTGACTCAGATCAGATCAGACATCTGGCGTTACGCACCGTCTGTCCATTCAAATTATTGCTTTCATGAGCTTTCGCCAAAAAAAAAAAGTCGACCCTTATTTTTCCATAAGTGTAAAATGTTTTATTTAGATGTTTTATACTGTGCAAACAGTAACAATACATTAAGTCCATACAATCGAGCGATACAAATACGGAAAACACGGGAGACACCAAAAACATCTGTCACTGAGCATGAGATGGAGCTCGACGGGAGCCCAGATCGTTCCCTCAGCACAAAGGGCAGAGAATAACATCGCTGATTAAATATGCATTTCGGTTCTATTTACACGTGGATTCTCTAAAACTGCTTATAAGCAATCAGATTCCATTGCAGCTACAAGAGCGTTTGGGCTATTATCTTCCAGTAAAAGGCCAAGTAACGTCATTTTCTTCCATAAGCGTTTGTCCGTGTAACCACTTTTCCTTCCACTGGAGCCACATCGAGGCTCTAGACACTTTTCCTGAAACCCCTCAAAATGAGTCTTGCGGGTTAAACACGCCAAATCCTCTTTAATAAAAGAAAAGTGTTGTCATGAGCATGCGTGTTTAAACTGACGGCTTCAAAATATCCCAACACACATGAAATATTCATGATTGACACGTTTAATTTGAAAAATGTAGACTAAAAGAAAATATAAATGTATCTTCAGTCAGTTCTGTAAAATAAAGATGTAGCTTTATGGGGTATAAATGCTTGTTTCTTCTCCTTTTCCCCCCCCCCCTCCCCCTTTAACATCAACATCTTTCGTCTGACTTCCACGACACATCCTCAAGACTTCTTTTGAAATGTCTCTGATCCCACTAAACTTACAGGATGCAAGAATATTTAGAACAACAAATGGAGAGAGAAAAGAGAACATTGTCTACACAAACTACGTCTGCATGAA